TGAGAGGCTTTACCCGCCTTGGGAATGAACACGACTCTGACCACCCTCCTAGGCCCCGGAACATGACCCTTAGCCAGACAAACCTCGAAAATGGGCATCAACCAGGGGCACGACAGTTCTGTAGATTTCTGCAGTTGGGCCGANGACCTGCCCTTGCAGTAAGCATGGTGATCCAAGGAAAGGCGCTCCCTGAGGATCCCTCTTCTTAAATGCAGATCGATCAGCCTCTCCAGCATCTTCAGAAGAAACGAGGAGAGACTTATCGGCCTGAAATCCCTGGGTGATACATGAGAGGCTTTACCCGCCTTGGGAATGAACACGACTCTGACCACCCTCCTAGGCCCCGGAACATGACCCTTAGCCAGACAAACCTCGAAAATGGGCATCAACCAGGGGCACGACAGTTCTGTAGATTTCTGCAGTTGGGCCGATATTATGCCGTCGGGGCCCGGGGCCTTGAAGGGCTTGAAGGGGCCAATGGCCCAAAGAAGGCGATCCATGGTTAGGATTTCCGAGACATTCGTCTCGGGGATCGACTCCTCTAACCGGCACTCGAAGGAGGGCCAGCAATGCTGTCAATGTCCGACATGACGGACTCGACCTCCATACCTATGGGGGCATCCTCCACATTCATATTTTCGCCCACCAGCGCAACCGGAACAGGCTCGTCATCCCCTCTGGAGTCGGTCTGGTAGACCTTCATGACTACCTTCTCGAAGCCATAGTAGATGACTCCCTGTCTTTCGGCGAGAGGCTTAAGAGACTCCAAGTTCAGCAACATCAGCGCTTGCCGAAAGTCACCGTCGGAGTTCTCAAACCGGATTGCCTTCCAGTTGTGCGCTGGAAGGTCCGGGTTGCAGTAGCGGAAGATATCTTCCACCTCACTCAGCGAGGAAGGTGCCGAGGGAAGCCAGACCCGAGCACGCGGACGCAAGGGAAGGTCCCCCTTGTCCACAGCCTCGAGCTTGGCTCCCACCCAAACCTCCCCGACCAAGGCTACTGCCGCGTTGTAAAGCGCGGCCGACCGCTCATCGGCACACACCACCTTCATGATCATCCCCTGATGCCAACCAGCACTCTCGCACCGCGGCGGTGGCCCCGGGTTTTCCCTGAACACCCTCATAAACACCCCTGATAAGGCTGAAGACACCTTCCTCCAATCATCCCTGGCGATGGCCCCGTCATCCTTACCCCGATCCAAAGCACCCAGAGTGATAGAGCCCGCCTGTTTAGCGATCTCGCTAAAGAGCTTAGGCGTCCCTCCCGCTCTGGGCTT